AGCAGCAGCAGCAGCAGCAGCAGCAGCAACAGCAGCAACAGCAAGCAGCAAGTGCTGCAGCAAGTGCGGCAAGGGCAGCAGCTCCTGAGCGCAGCAACTGCAGCAATACTTGCAGCAAAAACCAGATATATATAAACCCCAAACCCTAAACCCTAAACCCTAAACCCTAAAAGGTTCATTTTTTGTCTCTTTTTCTCTCTTTTTGTCTCCTTGTATATTTGTTTATATAGGTATATATATTTATATTTTTATTTATTTTTATATCTATATAATTATTATAACGAGTGTTTTTGTTTTTAGGGTTTAGGGTTTAGGGTTTAGGGTTTAGTCAACAGCATATGCTAATAATACCTGATTAAATAAATAAACAAATAAAAAAATAAATAAATAAATAAATAAATAAATAAATAAATAATTATAAATAAATATAAATAAAAGAGGAAATAAATAAATATAATTAATTATTTATTTAAATAAATAAAAGAAAGTTAATTAATTAATTAATTAATTAATTAAAATAATTAATTAAATAAATCAGCAAACAAAACCCTTTTTTTCTCTATACACCTAAGGTATATATATAAATATATATTTATATTTATATTTATTATTTATATTTATATTTATATTTATATTTATATTTATATTTATATTTATATTTATATTTATATTTATTATTTATAATAAATATAAATATAAAAAGAAATAAAAGAAAATATTTATTTATATTTTCTTTATATTCCTTCAAACCACAATTTAGGGTTTAGGGTTTAGGGTTTAGGGTTTAGGGTTTAGGGTTTAGAGAAAGTGTTGGCGTCTTCACCAACTCTTTCAATCGGAAGATACACCCTCAGGTGTACACGCAACTGCAGCAGCAGCAGCAACAGAAGCAGCAGCTGCAGCAGCAGCAGCAGCAGCAACAGAAGCAGCAGCTGCTGTTGTAGCTGCTGCTGCACCTACAGCTCAACCCCTCCACACTCCTGTACACCGCCAAACTGCCCCTGGAGTCTGCTGCTGCTGTTGCTGCTGCTGCTGTTGCTGCTGCTGCTGTTGCTGCTGCTGCTGTTGCTGCTGCTGCAGCTTATGGAGTATTTGCTGCCTGTTGTTGTGTATTGATTCCTTTGGGTTTAATTCGTTTATTAGATCGAAGGCAGCAAACAGAACGAGGGCTGCATGCACGCTTCTGCTGCTGCTGCTGCTGCTGCTGCAGTTGTTGTTTTTGCTGCTGCTGCTCTTCAGTAGCAGCAAACTCTTCTGCTCCTTGCTCTTCGTTTGCTGTTGTATTCTCTGAGCTTGCTTCTGCTGTTGCTGCTGCTGCTGCAGTTGCTGTTGCTGCTGCAGTTGCTGTTGCTGCTGCAGTTGCTGTTGCTGCTGCTGCTGCAGTCTTAATAGAATCTACCTGCAGTTTGCGACAACGAGTGCCGCTCTTGCTATGCTCGTGCTGCTGCTGCTGCTGCTGTTGCTGCTGCTGTTGTTGCTGCTGCTGTTGTTGCTGCTGCTGCTCCCCGCATTCATCTGGTAGCCGCTTTTGGCTACTGGGCGGCAGCAGCTGCTGCTCCCCAAATTCCTCTCCTCCTGATGGGGCAGCAGCAGCAGCAGCAACAGCAGCAGCAGCAAAAAGGCGAGTACCCTTCTTTGGAGGTGTTTGGCTTTGCTTCCAAGCCTCGCGTAGCAGCTGTTGAGCAGCAGCAGCAGCAGCAGCAGGAGCCGTTGCTGCTGCTGTTGTTGTTGTTGCTGCTGTTGCTTCTGTTGCTGCTGCTGCTTCTGTTGCTGCTGCTGCTTCTGTTGCTGTAGTTTGTGCATCGAACAATGACAGCAGCAGCTCCAAACGAGGAGAATCTTCGGGTGTACGGACAGCTGCAGTTGGACCTGCTGCTTCTGCTGCTGCTGCTGCTGCAGCAGCATTGGTGTTGCTCCTCTTGTCTGTGCTGTTGCTGCTGTCATTTGTTGTAGGAGAGCTGCATTCTTTGCAGTTCCTGCTGCTGCTGCTGCTGTCACCACTGTGGCAGCAGCAGCAGCTGCTGCTGCTGCGGCTGTTGACTTCCCATGGGAAGCAGCAAACTGCAGCAGCAGCAGCACGAACTGCTTCACGAGTGCCTGGCTGTGCTGCTCGGGCAAGAGGTGCCAGCAGCAGCAAACAAGGAACCACGACCTGCTGCAGCAAGAACTCTTGCTGCTGCTGCTGCTGCTGCTTCTCCTCTTGCATCAGTGGCTGCTGCAGCTGCAGCTGCAGCACCTGCAGCAGCATTCGTGCTGCAGGTGCTGCTGTCCTCGTGTTTTGCAGCTGCCGCTGCAGCAGCTGCAGCATCACCGGCAGCAGCCAAGGAACGGAGACACCTGCAGCAGCAACAGCAGCAAAACGCATGCAAACAGCCGCAACAATCCACACTCTGCAGCAGCAGCAGCAGCAGGAGCAACGGTGGCAGCAGCAGGCCCAACAGGTGGGTATCGTAGCAACAGGTAGAGCAACAGCAGCAAGAACAACAAAAACAAGAACAGCAACAACAACAGCAGCAGCAGCAGCAACAGCAGCAGCAGCAAGAAGAATTTACTGATGGATGCAATTTGCTGCAGGCCTTCTGCTGCTTCTGCTGCTAAAAATTTCTTTTCTGCTGCTGCGCGCAGCAGCAAAGGAGGAATAAAGTGCTGCAGCAGCAGCACAAACAGTCCCTCAACTTCTTGCTGCTGCTGCTGCTGCTGTTGCTGTTGCTGCTGCTGCTGCTGGTAGACAGACACGAGACCTCGGCATAGAGCGCCTACTGTTCTTACTGCTGCTTTGTTGCTGCTGCTGCGGAGGGACTGCAGCTGCAGCCGCACAAACTGCAGCAAATATTGCTGCAGCAAATTGCTGCAGCAGCTCGATGCCTCTGCTGCTTCTGCTGCTGCTGCTGCCTCTTTCTCTGACAAAGGGCCAGCGCCCTGCTGCTGCTGCTGTTGCTGTTGTGCTGAAACTGCCGTTGACCCGTCCCGTGCTGCTGCACCCGTGGAAGCAGCAGCAGCAGGTGCAGCATCTGCAGCAGCAGCATCCCCAGGTGCAGCAGCAGCAGCAGCAGCAGCAGGAACCTGTAGGAGGAGGAGACTTGGGTTGTGTTTGCAGATACACTGCAGCAAACAAAGAGCTAAAAAGGAAGACATCCAATCATTGTCTACTGCAGCAGATGCAGCAGCAGGTGCAGCAGCAGCAGCAGCTGCTGCTGCTGCTGCTGCTTCTGCAGTTGCTGCAGGAGCAGGCGCAATTGCAGCAGGAGCAGATGCAGCAGAGCAAGGGCCGGTCGGTGTTAAGGCAGCAGCAGCATTTGCTGCTGTTGCTGCTGTTGCTCCTGCTGGAGAAGGAGACTCAGGAGTTCCAACACTAGCAGCAGCAGCAGCAGCACCAACAGCAGCTGCTGCTGATGCTGTTGTCGGTGCTGTTGGTGGTGTTGCTGCTGCTGCTGTTGCTGGTGCTGCTGCTGTAGTTATTGCTGCTCTGCTGCAGCAGAATTCAACTGCTGCTGCCCAAAGAGCGCCGTATTCTGCATCTGTTTCTGCTGCTACTTCAGCAGCAGCTGCAGCAGCAGCAGCACCTACAGCAGCAG